AGTCCCTCCATGATTTAATCTGGGATCGGGTCAACTGATTGTACCATTTGACCGCCGATCCAGTCAGACTATCCTGGAAGCAATGTATTAGAAGCTTCTCATTTTCAGTATAACCTACCATTCTCCTGCTGAACATGGTGAGGTGGGCCGATGGGCAAGTGGTCCCGTTGTATTTTTCAAAGTCTAGTGCTTTGAATTTCGGGGGTAATATGAGGTCAGGAAAGATCCCTTGCGTCACTCCCATAGAATTCATTGATCATCTCCTTGGATTTTACCATCTCTTCTATATTTTTCACTCTTTGGACAATCTTTTCCCTTTCAGCTAACTCATTTAGGTTAGGGACCTCCATATTAGTACAACGTTCACCTGGCTTCAGCCCAGACGCCGTAGGAAAATCAATGGGGAATGAAGCTCCGACCTGATATTGTGGGTTCTCGACTGTGAAGCAGACTGGTGATCTGATTTCTTGACGCGCAGAGGTGTGCTCTGGAATGTGAACATGTGTGAAACCCGGAGGATGTATGTGGTCTTCCATAGTGGTCTTTCCAGCAATCAAATGTCCTCTAAACATTTCTTCCATCTTGTTCAGTAGATCGAGATGAGAGTTTGTGATACTAGCTTCCATTTGTGTCAACTTGTTTCTCATTTCTTCTTGCATCTCTTTCTGTTCTCTCTTAATTTTGGCTAACTTAACCTCTTTTTATTCAAGCATTTTCTTTCGCATGTAGATGATAAGCGTTCTCATTACTAGTGTAAACCCAGATCACTACAATCGGAAACCTTATCTTATTATTATTATTTTAATGAATGAACGGTTTAATGCATGATTCGACAATGTATTGATGAATGCAAATGTCATGCAAAATGAATGTATGCAAAAGACGTTGATCCCAAAATAACTGTTCTTAGAACAATTCTTAAAAACCCGACAATGTCTCGATACACTGGGGAAGTGAAAATCTGGTCCATCTGTAAGTTGCCTAGCTCCTACAAGCATCTGGTACTGCATCGTCTTCAATGCTTCTACCTCACCTCTTTCTTTCAGAAGTCTTTTTGAGATGGTTCGTGATATTCAACTATTGGCTTCAGCGACGAATATTCTTGAATTCAACTTGTTACCTCAGCAGGTATACGTCTGGCTCGTCTCCTTGGTAGGTAGACTCCCTCTAGCTACTCGATCTAATGTGGAGCATCTTCGAAATCCTATCAATCCCAGAGAAAGACATTAATGTGGTATTGTTTTTCAAGAACCTTATACATGACCAGTCATTTAGGGATCAATACCTTCGAATGATATGTCATGTTCATGCAAAAATACAATAAGAGCAGAAAAAAGGAAACCAATGTTAGTAGAAACAAAGACAACAAGAATCAAGTTAGTTGAAAAGATTAGTCCATAAATGTAGTCTTACCAAAAATAAATAAATATGACTCAAAGTTGAGACTGAAAAAAAAGACATACAAAGAAAATTAATAATCCTAACCGCATGTGTTCTAGTTCTCCTATGTATCCACATGGCTCTAGCGGGATATGCTTACTAAATTCTCTATATGAGGTTGGGTTCTAGCAAAGGTTCCCAAGCCATCTTTACAACTTGCTAAGGTTGCCCCCCGATTCTGGCCCGTTACAGACTTGCGAATTAGGTTCAGCTCAGGGGATCACATCACTAAAAGCGTACCTCGGATCCGATATCCGGATAGGCAACTTAGGGTGCTTTCCAGAGATACTTTATCAGACCCACAAAAGGAAGCCCAATGCTCCTCGTGAGGTGTGACGTTTCTCCCTACTTAGGTAAACCAGATTTGAGCTCAGGTTTAGAGATATGATATGCAACAATCCTAAATATTCACAAAAATGTAAGCATTAACCAGAGTGAAATCTGTTTTTTTTTCTTTTTTGAAATAACATAATGAACAGTAAATTAAATAAGATCAAACTCGTAATTTCCAAAATAGTAAATACACGGTAACCAACTCGTGGCTCGACTCTCAATTTATTTTAAAAACAAAAGTCCCCAATGGAGTCGCCAAGCTGTCGACACAATTTTTCGCCCGGGCGGGGAAAGACTGATACCAACTAGGGGTTTTCTCTTTGAAAATCATTTTGAAATGTGAGGAGTCGCCACCAATTATTTAAGTTGCGATTGGAACATTGTAAAAATTGGGTGATTTTAATAAAATATCGAGTTTTGGGGTCTACAAAAATCCAGAAATCAGGTTCGGGAGTCAATTACGCGTGGGGAAGGATTAGCAACCCCATAAGCGCCAAAAAATTGGTACCTAGTTGATTACCCTATATTTAAAATCAAAAATTTTGAGTTCTATCTTTATTTAATTTAAAAATCATTAAGAATGTAAAGTTGAAAAGGGTATTCGTTTATCAAGACCGATAGCATTCGCCCCCGAGCGTAAATGCGGGAGATCAGCTATTGTGCCTAATAACTGAACATTGCCTCGTTTTTTAAAACATGATGTGGTTTTGAAAATGATGTCGACTTATTTAGGGAATTACTAGTAGTCACCCCCTGAGCGTGATCGCGGGAGATATACTATTAATTCCTTAATAAGTGTACAATGCCTTAGATTTATAAAAATAATGTGATCAAGCAAAATTTTATTTAATCCTAATTATACTAAAAATTAATTAAGGCTCTTTTCTAACCTACGGTGTCAAATTATGAGAATTAAGGAACCTAGGGAGCTCAAATCTAAAAATGTAGGCTCTATTATTAATCTTATGTGATTTTAAATAATTATTAAATTGAATAACCGAGATGGTCCCTCGAGTGTTTACGCGAGGGCCAACTCGAATTATCCCCTAAATTAAAAAAATAGTTTGAAATCTAAGCTAAAATGGAGGCTCTATTTAACCTATTTAATTATATCAATATTTAAAGTCTAATTGAAGTTCGAGAACTAAAAGTGTCAAGAAACTAAAATACCGAGCTCTAAAAAGACTTAAAAATCTAAGGACCTAGATTGAATGTTTTTAAAGTTAAGGGACTAACCTAATTATTAAACTAAATTTTTTACAGAATATTAATCATTAATTAATTTTAACCGAATAATTAATTCGAGTATTCGGGCGTATGATACGAAAACTCGACTCGAATTGCCCCCTAATTAAACTACAGTGTCATCCTAATTTCTAATTTGATTTGAATATTAATCTAATTTAAAAAACAAAATTTAGAATTAAAACTATGAAACAAAACAATTAAAAATAAATTTAAGGGAAATAATTAAAACAAAAGATAATAAAAACAAAAATATAAAATAAACATAAAATAAAGACCTAATTGCATAAATATAAAATAATAATGACTAAAATACAAGAAAATAAAAGTTAGTAACTAAATAAGAAATAAAAAGTGACCAAAATGTAAAAATAAAATAATATAAGCTAAATAAGAAATTAACAGTGACTAAATTAAAATAAAACAACATCAACATGCATGATCAGAATAAAATAAAAGAGGGTGACGATAATATAAACACACTGAAATGGAAGATTTATGTGTGATTTACCTATTAAGATATGTGAACCAAGCAAAAAGTATATTAGGATCTGGGGACCTAATACTTAATTAGCCTAAAATCTAAAATAAACAAATTATCTCTCCTTTTTCTCTACAATCTGCCCGTGAATTCTCTGTTTCCCTCATCTCCTCTTCATTATTTCTCTAAACTCTCTCACTCCTTTTTCTATTTCCTTTTTGCACTTTGTGGAAGATAAACGATCGGTGACCATGAACCACTATGACAACCACCGCGAACCACCCCGATCTTCTAAGGTAAGGATCTACTCACTCTCTTTCCCTTGTTTTATTTTACATGCAAAGCTAAAAAAAATTGGATTCGATTCGAAACCGAAAAAAATACTCGAAATACCTTAGAATAATATGATTTTTATTGCTTTTTTTTTCTCTCCTCATCTAAATTATTTTAGTATTTTCTCGTAATAGCATAGAATAAAAAAATCAGTATTTAAATACGAAAAAATTATCCTTTAATCTGTTTGTTTATTTCTCTAAAATCTTTGAGAGAAAAAATCCTCCTTTTTTGATTACATGCTTTCGGCTTTTATAGCCAGATTTACAATGATTTTTCAAATTGCATAAGCAGTTGGTTACGCTTTAATTCTCGCAGGGAACAAGGGATGATGGGGTTTGTGTTGAAAAATGGTGTGGTGGGTATTGATGTTGAAAAATGAGATGGTGGGTGTTGATGTTTGAAAATGGTGTTTACATTCATCACACCAGTAGACTACATTAACACTTAGATGCATGTTCAGACATAGGTATGAGAAAACGAATTTGAATAAATCCTCTAAACACAAAAAATTGGAACATATCAGTGTTAGATGTATACTCGTATCCAACAGTACTCGCACTCAACTCCAAACATTATAGCTAGAAAGTGAAATGACTTCAGATCCAAGGAATATGGCTGTAAAATGAGCAGAAGCAACGTACTCGAGCAGAGATCAATTGAAAAGTCATTTACTAATATTTTTCAGAAGCAAATATCTCCACTTTTTGTCAAATCTACATGCCTACTTTTTCTTCAATGGTGCCCTTTCTGTAGTATGTATCCTTGGGCTGAAACTCTTCAACATGAACAACCTATAAAGGATTTAATTAGTCTAGGAAAATACAGATTTAAAGGCTCTTTCTATAACAATGGATTGAGTGGTTGTCACTGCATGTAATTTGTTAGCATTATCCATTGTTCTCGCAATTTGAAGGATTATGTCAAGCTTTTTTTATTATTAAAAAAATAGAACTACAGAATATTTAGTTATTTGCAAAATGAATCTCACGCAGTTGGTTGGCTTCTTCCATATCGTTCTCCAGTTTCCCAAACCTATAATGGACAGTTCCTCTAAGCAAGGGAATAATGCCTACGAAATTCACTTAATTGTGTCAATAGCTTCATGAATCAGAGTAATGATATAAAGGAAACAACACTACATCATGAACAAGTTAATCAAATATTTATGGGGGAAAAAAAGAAAATATATAATGAAAGAGAGAAAGAAATGATGCAGAGAAAAGAAACTAATGAAGTATTACCTTTTCATCGAAGAGAGTTGGAGAGGCAATCTCTGAGTTGTTTCCTTCTGCAGCAGAGATGAATGTTTTCAGTGTAGGACAAGTTTCGATACTAAGACTTGTCAACAAGGGGAATTCAAAGTAATTTCCATGGCAGAATCTCGTCAGTTTAGGAAGGTCTTTGAGAAATAGGAATTGTAGAATACGGAACATTTTCTGATTCATCATTTCTTCTTTCGTTAATCCTTTCGCAGAGATCACATTTTCCAGATTCTCACAATTTTCAACCTTTAGCATCTTGAGTTGAACAAAACTTTTCACCATAGAGGACGAAAACATGAAGTTCAAATTATGACAGCCCTCGATAGTCAAGCGTGTTAGATTTTGGGCATAAGAATGTGTGGACAAAAGCTTGTGTTTCCAAACTCGCTGATTGTTGATTAAAGATTGCTCCAAATCCTCCAAGCTCGGAAAAACCTGCATACAGTATATAGAGTCTTGAATGCAAGAACAAACATTTCAATTTTTAATGAATGTACATCAATGATGATTGAAGCTAACTATTCATTACTGTTAACTACTCCAAGAATGTGAATCTATAAAGGCTAAAAGGACCAAAAGTTACTTGTATGGAAAGGGATTGATGGACTTTTAAAACGATATAAAAAATGTCATTTTGAACTGATTCATACCTTTTCTATGAACAACTGTTGAAGGATAACATTAAGGTCGCCTTCCCAGTGCCCTGCATATTTGCCTTTAGTTGATTGTAGTCCATGCAGCATCGGTGTGCTTAACTTCCCCTTTGTGAAAAATTCCATCTTTGGACACCATCTGATGATTACTTCTTCCAAGGAAGGAAATACTAAGGTATACTTCCCTGAGCAGAAACTTGATAGGATCGGAAGTCTAACAAGTTTTTAAGACTTGAGTTGGGAGAAAACGATGCCATTCATGACTTCATCAGTTGTTGAAGCTATGATTTCTTTTAACATTTGGCAATATATAACACGCATTCTTGTGAGTTGGGGAAAATATAGGTTTGGAAGTGCTCCATGCCATATCTCCTTCATATTGCTGTTCCGAATCACATGTAATTCTTCTAAATTGGGGAATGCTTCCTGAGAAATTTGGAAAAATGTATGTTCAACGAAAAAATTGTCTAAACTGATGCCATATCCCCTATTTTACCTCAATTTTATAGGTTCATCAATTGGGTCCAATCGCAAACTTCATCGAGACTGAATTTATGTCACAAATTCTAACAGACACATATGTATTTAGTTAGTTTTGTGAATTGTTACCTCAGTGACCCAAAACAGGGGTTGTTGAACAGAGATTAGAGGTTGGCTCTCTCCTTCTGTTTCTCCAAAGTTGATATACTCCCTAGCCAAATTCTCTACCTTGCTGCAATCACACACCTCCAATTTTTTCAAGGATGGCCATTCCGTAGTATGCACCTTGGAGTAGAAACCCTTCAATTTGGGTAGCACTCGAAGAGTCAACCCTCTCATTTTAGGAAACACAAACTTGGGGATTGATTTGAGTTCGATCATTTGGGCGGATGTCACTGCGTGTGACTCACTGGAATTGAATCCGTCATCATCATCAGGTCCAATTATTTCTTCTACCGACTTACATTCCATTATTGCAAGAGTTTCTAGCTTTTCAAGTCTTTTCACCATACTAAAAGGTAAAATATTTGAAAGTCTTTCACAGTCTTTCACCCAGAGGAAGGTCAATTGATTAAATGAATTCATAGTGGGTTTATCATGCCATATCTTTCTGCATTTCCCAATGCCTCCAATGGTCAACCTGTTCAAGTTAGGGAACACAACCTGCAGATTTTATTCAAGTTATTAATACGAAAAAGAAGTTGGAATGCTACTTGAACAAGAGAAAACCATACAACAAGAAAGGAAAAATGATATGAAAAGTAAAATCACCTTTTGGTTGAAGAGGGTTGGGGAATCAGTCTCTGAGTTTTCTCCATGGCAGAATGTCCCTAATTTTGGAAGCCTACTGAGCTCCAGAATTCCCAATTTACTGAACAAGTAAGTCTGGGTCATCCCTTCTTCTTCTGCAGCTTCATCTGTAAGGATTACTTCTTCCATGTTCTCACAATTGACAAGGTCAAGTTTAAAGAGTCGCACAAAATTTTTGATTAAAAAGGATGGAAATATATATTCCAAATTGTGGCAACCCTTCACAGTTAGAAATGTCAACTTATGAACACTAGAGGATATAGCACTGTGTGGTTCATCTGGCCATAAATTTTGGATGTTAGTGGACGATAGCTCCAACGAATCCAAATTGGCACACAAAACCTGCAACCATTCAAGTTCAACAGCGGTAAACAAAACAATATATACTATAAAGGAACTAATTTTTAATTAATTGCTGGCATACTTATATCTTAAAGCCCATACCCTGGGATAATTTTCTTTCTATTTAAGCAAAAAAATTCTAGAAATTAAAATAGTGATTTGACAACACAATTTTCAAAATGCTAATTCCAAACTTATCCCAAATCAATTTAAGAGATTAAAACACTGAACAGAAAAGAAGAGAAGAGAAGAGAGTGACCTTATCATTGAAAAAGGGTGTGTTTTCGCCATCTCTTGTACATGCCATTGCATACATCTTTGGACAATCATCTACTTTAATCGTAAGCAATGATGGACATTCCAGAGTTATATTTCCCATGCAAAAACTCTTCAAATCTGAACATGACTCCAGTGTTATGTTTTTAAGCTTTGGTAAGCAGGCTGTATCCATTGCAGTTTCCTCTGCTTCTTTCTGGATAATGTACTCCATCATGGGACATTTTTTCACTGTTATATGTTCCAATTGCAAAAGTTCCAAGGCCATGGAAACGCTAAATATGTATTTCAAGCTATTACACTCCTCAACTTCTAAATCTTGTAGGTTCTTGAAATCTACACTTTTCTCTTTCCATATTTCCATTGACTTGGAAAATTCGGAAAGGATCAAATACCTGATGCCTTGGTACCCAACCTTCATTAAGTAATCAAACAGAGAAACAAGGGTTAAAGTTCATGAAGGATTCAAGGTTACAACTAAACAACACGAAAGGAAGAAAGAGATTCAGGAATAAAATAGAATACCAAAAGCTAAATTAAAGGAATGCAAAATAGTGAATACCTTTTTTGAATGCAATTGTTGGACTGTGCTGTCAAGGTCACCACTCCAATGTTCTTTACCTTCTCCATATTCTACACTTTGCAACAACGGCGCATTTAAAACTCCCTTACAAAATATCTCCAACTCAGGACAGCCACTCACTATCACTTCCTCTAAACATGGGAATCCAAATGTGTGGTTGCCTGAACAAAAGATCTTAAGTCGTGGTAGATTCACAAGTTTCAAACTTCTCAACCTGCTGAATATAATGTCGCACGTTGCATCATCTTCCTCATTTGCAACTATTTCCTCCACTGAAGTGCATTCTGCTATGATCAATTGTTTGAGTTGAGACAGACCCTGCACTGCTAGACATGTATCTAAGTATTTCATTCCTTGGCATCTCCACACGTTCAAGGTGGTGAGATTTTGAAACGATACTGAGGATGATCCTAAGCTCATCAGATTCGTACAATGGTGAACTTCAAGAGTTTCAAGGTTGGGTAGAATGCGGTCCACTTGTACGTCTTGCTTCCATAAGTAATGTTTCAGATTATCAAGCTTCATCAACTCTATTTTTCTAATTGTTGACAGTGTCCTATCATACGTCCCCTTATTACCAGTATCTCCTTCAGTACAGAATAACTCTTTGATTTCACAATAAGAGATACAAAGCTCTTCTAGATTGTAGAAGCTTTCAAGGAAAGAAATTTGGAAATCATTAACAAATTTAGCCCTGTTGCCTACCACCCTAAAAGCTTTTATTTGATGGAAAAGGTTGTTTGGCAATTGACCATCACTTATCATTGCAATGTATTCACTATCTAATCCCAAACGTTGTAGTTTAGGGATGACCTGAAAACCAATCAAAAAACAATTTTGGAGTCACTATGTTCATCTTCTTATATTAAGATTTAATATTTTAATTTAAAATAAAGCAGAACATATAGAGTGGGAGCGAGAGGGTTTATACCTTTTCAACCAAGAAAAGTGGTGGTTGGGAGTCAAGTTGTTGGTTGTGAGTGATGAGTTGTGTACCAAATATCTTCATTTCCCCACACTCGTATGCTGTTAACTCTTTTAACATTGGCCACTTTGTGGTATGCCTACCTGGGTAGAAACATTTGCATTCTCGTAGCCGCAAAAGCCTAAGGTAGGACAGCTGATCAAACTCGAAAGTGACAGTAGTTTCCGAATCATATCCTTCCTCTACTTTGGAAACAATCTCCTCCACTCCACAGTTAAATATTGCAAGATCACTGAGTTGTGGGAGGTCTCTGGCTACTGAGGCTGGAAATACATTCTTCAGGCTCTTACAAATCCCCACAGATATTTGATGTAGATTTTTAAATGAAAAAATGTATTTGGGACCGTTTTTCCAAATATATTTCAAGTTTGATAAATTTGTAATGCTGATTACTCTTAGTTTGGGAAATGAATTTGGTGGAAGTGGGTTCTCCCATATCATCTTCAACTTTCCCAAATTGCTAGCCCGCACTATCTCCAAACTGGGAAATGAAACCTGCACTCATCATGTCAAAATAATGAAATTAAGAGCTAGCGCTACAAATACATATATGAGTGCGCGTGTTTGCAATTGTATATACATACAAGCAGAGTCGAAGCTACAAACTTTCGTGGAAGTTGTTTAGTGGACCGGATTATCTTCAATTATGCATTAAATAAATTGTTATATTTGTTTATATTTTGTATTTAATTTAAATTTTATATAATGTAATATATGAAAATATTTTAATTATAACTTATGAAAATATTAAATCAATTTACTCTATCATGATTTGATAATATATAAAAATTAGGAATTTAAGAATGCTAAAAATAATAATTAAGCTACCTTATTGTCGAACAGAACATGATTAGAGAAGCATTGGTTGCCTTTCATTGATGATCTGTATATGAAACCCTCCAATTTTGGACAGTTGTATATACTCAGTGACTTCAAGGTCGAAAATTGAATAACTTGAGTTTGGTAATCGGAGCAAAATCCAATCAGATGCTGAAGATGCTTTAGCTCCAAGGTCTTTAACCGAGGAAATAATGATAAAGTTATACCAGTTCGGGTTTCTTCTTCTATTTCCTCCATGAAAATGATCTCTCTTAAGCAGTAGCATCTAATTATCTCAAAGTTTGTGAGATGCACTAGACATTTCGCCATAGAAAATGACAACAGGTGTTTTAAGCTTCCACAACCCTCGATTTTCAATGTTGTCAACTTCTCATAAGTTCTGAAAGATGTACTTGAAAGTTGGTTGTGCCATACCCTTGTAACATTAATCGACTTCAACCACAAATTCTCCAAGTAAGGGAACGATATCTACAACCATACAAATGATTTCAGGAAATATTTGAAATAAAGATTTAAAAGAAATTGAATTGTAAATACCTTTTCGTTGAAAAGTGGCAACTCATGTTGAGGTAATGAGCTGGTAGCACCGGTTTCGTGTTGAGGGCAAAAGCTAATGAGCTTAGGAAGATCATGCAGTGCAAGGGACTGTAATTGAGGAAATTCATATTCATCATTGATAATGTATTCAGTATCTAAACCATTTTGGATATGTAGATTCTTCAAATGCGGTATGCTTTCCTCATCTGTTAACTCCTGTAATGCTATCTTCACACCTTTGAGTTCACCCAAATGTAAATCTTCAGTTTTTTTCAACAACTTCTTAATTCCAAGATCCAAATCATCCATG